AAATATAAAAATTTTTAAGAAAAATAAAATTAAATAAAGAAGGTATAAGAAAAAATAGTAAAAAAGTAATGAATATGAAATCATAAAAGTTGAAGAAATTGTACTTGAGGGCAACAAAAACTGGCGCATTCATGGCCAACTTCTTACACCAAGGTGTTTTTATGACTTTGATAGTTCCATCCTACGTGTAGGAAAATGCTGGAATAATAAAGAAGGTACATACCAATATTTTCAATTTGAAAATTAAAACTATTGCTGGTTCAGTATTGAACGTTCAGTATTGATTGCAGGTTTAGAAATGAATATTGAAATAAAATATTAAAGTAACTTTTTGGTCGAAATTTTCAAAAAGTGCCTCTAATTTGAAGACTTGTAAATAACCTGAAACATACATATTATTATTTTGCTTTAGTTAAATTTCGTAAGTATATAACATGCATAGTTATTATTATATTCGGCATATTTTACACAAATGAACTCAAATTTGTTCTTGCATAAAAAAAAAGGATTTTTCTAAATATTTTGGATTTTTGCAGAATGGAAATTTATTTTAGGATCTTGTAATTGTAATATACAGGATGTTTCGCATAAGGTGGAAAATAATTTAAGAGATTGATTTTTTGATCAATTTCCAGTAATAAATTGAAATGAGGAGGGGGGATCTGCAGACGTTCTTGTTTTCGAGCTACAGCCAGTTGAAAAAAAATTCCGGACTTTTTCTGCATATAAATAAATACTTATAACTTCAGAACCATACAACATAGAGTTATCATTGGGAATTTTTTTCACAGGCGATTCATTGTTTTTTATTTTTAGTCTTACAATTAATTTGATTTGAGCCATAGTTTTCGAGATGCAGCTCGTCAAAATCCAAATTTTTCTTTTTTTCTTGAAATTTTTTTTACAAAACCCGAAATTTCTCAAAAATTTTTGTTATTATTATTTTTTTCTATTTTTCGATGCGCTACAATAAGGTCTAAAAGTTAACCCATGTAGCATTTTCATCTATTGCTCACAGATTTGCCAGTAAAACGTGTTAAATTGACACATTTGCAAAAAATGCAAAAAATGCATATTCCTGAATCCCTGAAATTATTTGGCACCATATGGGAAACAGTTACATTTTTATGTTCACTTATATACTAAAGCTTTGATACTTTCACTGTTAAAGTGAACCTAAACTTATTCTACTAAATATTATAATAATTTACAAAATAATTTGTGATTTTTAATTATTGAAATTTTTTTATGCGATTTTTAAAATATGGTATTCACACACACATAACATGATCTATAATCTAGTTTAACATATATCCAACTTCCAACTTCTAACAAATAATCACAAAAATGAGCATAAAGTTGGATTAATATTTTTACATATTCAAGTACTGGACAGAAACTACTTAAACCTTGAACGTTTTGGAAAATGTAGGTCAAGCAATGTTTTTAGGTTAGTTTCTATTTCCAAAGAAATTTTTTATTTATAATTTTGTATTATTTTATATTTTGTTGTAAAATTTTACAAAAATGTCATAAATTTCTTTTTTCTAAATGAATCCAAACTTTTCAAAAAATAAATTTCAAAGTTTTCTTTACAATCAAATTAACTAGAACTACTATAACTAAAACAAATGGAACTTTAGTTTGGTTGTAATCATGTTAAAAAATATTTAAAAATGGCTTCATTTCCTATCAGTTGTTAAGAATCATTTTCATTCTAAAATTTTTAATAATTCCGTTTTTATATAAAATAAAAATTTAAATTTAATTTCGTTTCATTTTTGTTTTTTAATAAATTGATTATGATCACGATATCAATTATAATTTTATTTCATTTTCCATATTTTACAATTTTTATTTTTTTCATTTCCAATTTGTAAAATTGAAAACTTTTGTATTTAAAATAATTCAAAAATAAATAAATGTATAATTGAAATTCAACTAACCATAAAATTTTATCGACCTTCATAAAACTCTGCTCATAGAAAAAGGCTAAAAAAAAAAATAAATAAAAAATTAAAATAAAAACTTTACATTCTTTTTTTGTTTCCTTCTCTTCTCTTCGTAGGAAAATATTTTTACATGCAAAAATTTTTAAGATGATTTTTTTTTATAAAACCAGGAGCGGATAACAAGGTACCTGCAGGAAGGCAAAATCGAATTAGTTCATAAGGAAAATCACCACTTACAATCATTTAACTCACTAATCTACAATAAATTGTGAAAAGATTTTAAAGTTTAGGGATTGTTAAAATTTTTTGTGTGTTAAATGTATTTTTCCACATTGAAGATGAATTGAATCACAATTACTTTAAGATAAACACTTGCCTGTTAGTTTCCTTATTTATGAGCCCCTGTGTTTCAGCTAAGACTGCACCGATTTTCATGAAAATCTATATTTCTTCATTATACCCGTACGAAAGTATGTATGTTCGAACGGTATACTAAATTTGCCTTACCGTTTGTAACCCTAAGAAATAACGGTCTTAGATATAGACAAAAGTGTATGTTTTTGATCAGTGTCGAATTCTAAGTCGATTTAGTTTTGCCGGTCCGTCCGTCTGTCCCAATGGTAACTCAGAAACTAATTGAGCTAAGTTCACCAAATTTTCATAAATGATTTATTATAGTAATAGCCAGAACCTTATTTAAATTGGATATGATGGGTGTACTGGTTCGGGTAGTTGCCTTACAACTTTAAAAGTTATTTGGAAATATATCAGAAACCATAAAAGTTGTGATATTGAAATTTCACACAAGCGAATATGTTAGTAGGGCCAATGTGTTTGATAAAATTTGTTGAAATTGCTTGACTCTTTCTGATAGCTGCGATTCAACTTTAATAGTAGTTTATCCATATTATAGAAACCCCGGAGTACTGAAATTTTGCATAAATTAATATGGTAATACGGCAACTTAAAGTCATAGTCTGTCCCATAGTCAGCTTGACATATTCATTCGCACATAGGATCGCATATTCGCAACTCTATTTTTTCTCGTTTTATTTAATGAGTTAGATGAAGTAGAACAATTTTAACTCTCGCGTAGAGCTCTTTCAGTAATTCTTTACCTCGCGAAAAAACAAATAATAATTTTGCAAATAGCCTTTAAATATTTCGCTTTTACCTTAGTACGTTTCTGTCTTCAACATTTCTTTTTTTCGTAACTTGTAGAGGGCGTATTTTCTTATTTTTATGTATGTATTTTATATTTTTAAAAATTATTGTTTTCTTTTTATGTAATCATTTTGTAATTTTTAATTTTTTACATTTTTCTATTTTTTTCCGATATAATTTAAAAAAATTAAATCATTTTATTTTCAATTTGATCTAAAATATATTGCAAAATTATGGAAAAATAAAAAAACAAATCGTACATAAAAGCATTTTATTGTTTTTGTAGAAAAGAAAATTGAAAATTCGAAGAACAAAATTCGATATAAAAGAGAAAAACTTCAAAAAAAAAATATGTTGGAAAAATGATTATTTTTTCATTGCAAATTTTTATTCGGAAAATGATTTTTAAACACGAAATGTCAATTTTAAAACAATTTCGTCACAAGAAGTAAAAAAAAGGGTTAAAAAAAGGGACGTTACTTCACATAAAAAAATTACACAAATTTTTTTTAAATAAATTTATTTATTAGAGTTGATTTTTTTTTTGAAAATTTTAAAGGAAAAGTCGAATGAATGTTTTTCAATAATTGTCAATACATTCGGTTTCGGAATATTATTTTTGTAATACAGTTTTTTTTCCAATTTTTAGTTGAAGTTGAAATTTATTTTGCTATATAATTGTATTAGTATGCTATATATTTTAACTCATGAGTTTAAAAATCTGTTCCTTCAAACGTAAAAAATATTTCAATTCAATATGATGAGGGTAACCAAATGCAAACTTAGATAAAGACAATCCTTTTATTTAACCTTGAAATTTGTAAAGGTAGGGTTGGAATGAGAATATCTTAAATGAAATGTTATAGCGTCGTTTGGTATATAATTTTAAAAGTAAGATTTTGAGCTATATGGAGAAATTTTTAAAATGGCTTTAATTTATATACGTTATGTAGCTCTTAAAACCTCAAATTCGTTACAATTCGCTAATTTTTACTTGGACCATGTTATATGTTGTAAAAGTGAATCATTATTAGGGACTTACTATATTATTTTCTTGTTCTTGGTTTTTTTAATTTTAGAGGATAATGTAGCACAAAAAATTTCAGGACATTCATATAATGTAGCCTAATATACTCTTGTTTTAAATGAGTCAAATTCTTTAAGTAGTTTGTATTTTTTATTTTCTGCTAAGGACTCTTTTTGGGTCGCAGAATGTTTTCAGAACATTATTAGCCAACAAACATATAATAGCATGAGGTATGCACAATCACATATACATATACTCTTTGTCCCTATTCAACTTTTATCTTACTTGACCCTGAATTATATACGATTGATATAAATTTCAAGTTATGCAATCACTTAAATCAAAAATATAACCACGTTTTATTAATTTTCCGTCTTCTATATAGTTTAAGAGAGTATCGTGTAATTCCGACGCTATTGTGAAAAAATATTTGAGTTGTACAATAATTGTTCAAATTTTTTTCTTTAAGTCACATTAATCTTAATTAATATTTCAATCGATTGGCAAAATTAACCTTTAACATTTCGGAATAAATTGATGTTTTTTATAAATTTATTATAAAAAGCTTAAACCTTTAATTTTATAGTTTAATTAAAATAAAATTGCCCAGTGGGTTTGGAAATGAAATTCAATTGGTAAAAATTTAGTATTATCAAATTAACATTCTTCACTTTTGGGTTGCAAATAAGTTTTCTCAACAAAATTTTATTTCTAACATTTATCAAATTTTAAATTAATTGATTGAATAAATTTTTGTTTTTAAAATATAATTAATAATTTTAAATAATCTTCTTCTTTTTCTACATCTTACTAATGAAACTAAGTTTTCGATGTCTGTATAACAATAGTACACTTACCGCAACACGACTTTCTTTTAAATCTAATCTCATTGCTAATGCTTCTCTCATAAATACATCTGGATAATGGCTAGCCGAAAATGCTCTTTCTAACTCTTCTAATTGCCATGAATTAAAATTTGTTCTACTACGACGACGTTTTGATGCACTATTTTCATCATCACCATCAGCTGCTGAACCTGAAGATTTGAAAAAAAAAATAAATGATTAAATAATGTAAAATAAAATATTGGTGTTAGAAATTTTTTTAAAATAATCATACATTGATGCAAAATTCATTTCCATTTGACTTGATCTTGCCCAGTGAGCACCCAAACATTTAATTTTCAGTTTCAACACCTTCAATGTTTAAAGTTTTTTTTTTCTAAGATATTTTCCCACGATTACTTAATCAATAACAGAAATCGAAAACTAACCATAAGGTTATTAATATTCATTGTCATTAAAAGAGCTTTTCCAACCCACTAGAAAGGTTAATGTCAAGATAAATTATCCAAACTAAAATTTGAAAATTATGTTAAAAATTTAGGAATTGCTTCCTCTATCATATGGAACTATGTATGTGTTGACCGTCATCTAGAATCGGTTTTCAGCTAATTTTAAATAGCATGCCTCCTAGAAATATCTATCGCAATCTAAAAAAGAAGAAGATGTAACAGTAACCATCCTACAATCCAAACCGTTATGCCTTAACTAAATTATAGCTAGCAATAAACTTTAAATTTTATATTACCATAAACTTTTCTAGAATGATTACTCTTAATTGTACTGTGTAAGGTAAGGAAATTGTTCCAATACACCGTTTTCCTTACTTAGATTCAAAGTTGTATAAATGAAAACTTTGAACTGAAATGATTAAAAGGAGAAATGTACCATTTCACATACGATAGTTTAGACTACTAATTTCCTTAATTTTTAGTTAAAGCAAACTTTTTCACTGCCCCTATTGTTATACCCTTTACAGATTTGATTTGGAATTTCAATCAACATTATCATGTTTGATTGCTGTTATAAATTTTAAACCAAATATTACAATGATGTACAAATAAACAAGATCAAGTGCTATAAATTCAATAATTATTTATCTTTAACTACTTTATTTACTTAAGACTTTCCCATGCTTTCAAAGCAAAGCAAACACTTTCATAGAGCATTTTATTTTTTAAGAGTAAGTTACTCAAATTCAAATTCGTTTCATATTATTCATATTCAAATTAACTTCATATTATTGTAAATGAAGTATATAATAATTGTAAGCATATATGATTATTGGTAAAATATTACAAAAAACAATTCCCACATGATTAATAACAAAAGGCAGTAATCCAATAAGAATTACATATTTAGTTAATCTAGAACAAATAAAAAGTAAATAATGTTAAATAAAAAAGTCAATGGGGGTTAATTTTAGGGGTAAACAGGCTGATGATCAGTCAAACACGCACCCAAAACAAACGCAATTTTCACTTTTCATATTTTTGTATACTGTTCTTATTTGCTTTGTTTTTTGTCACGTTACTCAAAAATTTTATTTAAAAATAAAAAGGATAATGAAAGATAAAAAGTTTTTTTGGAAGGGTTCAAACAAATTGTTTTTTGTTTTTCTAAAACAAACTATTATACAGCAGAAAAAAACGCTTACCCAGAAAGTTTTTTATGTTTACCCAGAAATTTTCTAATCTGCGAGGTTGAAAGTGTACAGTTTTTTTTCTGCCAGTTGTAGCAATAAAATAACTGATTTTTTTCCAAAAATATGTTTTTTACGAGGCAATTTTTATATTGTCTTATAATTATGTTTCATAACTCAAACCCAATTCCAATCCAACCAAATTTTTTTTTAAATTAAATTTTTTTCTTAAAAATTTTTCGTATATCATTGGAAAAAAGCATAAAATTGATTCAACTCTGCAACGTTTTGTTAATTATAAAAAAAAAGCAAAGCAGGCGTAAGTTCGAAGCAAGCATTACGCGTAACCATTTTAGAATAATGCCAAAATAACACATGGTACTATGTGCGTGTATACTTTCTGACATGTAGGTTTTATTTTTCACCTTTATGTAAAGTTTTTCTCAAAAGAAGGCCGAAAAAAAACTCGTCATAAAAAAAATTTTATTTTTGTCGTACTGAAAAAATAAAACGCGTGCTAATGAACAAAAAATTGTCACCCCTAAGCAGACAGACAAAAAAAAATTCGAAGAAAAAAAAAGGTTTAAAATATATTGAAGGGTTAAAAAATTTAACAAAAAAAAAATTTGTTTTTAATTTTTGGCGTTTTTTATGAATAAACCAAACTATTTATAAAAAAATTAAAAAAAAAAAATTATGTGTGATTTTTTTCCAAAAAAAAAGGAATACGTTAGGAAAGAGTCAAAACTTTACCCCACCCAAGCGCGTCCGACAAAAGTGAGAAATTGAATAAAAAATAATTCCCAATAAATTATTTTGTAATTAGACTTGAAATGTTTTTTGTTTGATTTTTAGAATGTTCTTTTTGTTATTATCGAATGATTTTCGGGTTTCTTATTTATTTAGTTAGTTAAGAAAACAAAAAAGTCAATTGCTTAAATAAATAGAGAAAATCAACAAGAGAGAAAAAAAACAAAATCATAACTGTTTATTATGTAAACAACCGTTTGTTTTTAATATTATTGTTCTAACTGTTTATGATGTCATTAATGATGCATTTATCGGAATTGTACTCGTTTAATAACGATTATATTTTTTGTACTTATGTTTTAAATCAATATACGTTTAAGATCATGTCCCCTAATCTTGTATACGTAAGTATAATTTGGATATTAATGTTATTCATGTCAACCCTTATAGGTACATGCAATTATTGTTTAATTTGAAGCAATGTTGAATGAATATATTTTTTTAAGGAAAATTAACATAATCTAGTTGACTGAATTCGTGACTTTTTGGTACGAATCTAAGCCGCAGCAAAGAATAGTTATACATCTAAAATGTACCGCTAATTTTTCTCGGATATTTTTAATAAACTTAAATTTATCATTTTTCAATAAAAATACTCTAGTAATCCAACAGAAAAATGGCAGTATCTTCCTTAGTACAGAAAAAACCAAGGTATAGCTAACCAAAGTATACGATTTAAAAATTAAGTTCTAATTAATTTAAGTTCTAGATTAAAGACACACTTTTAGATAGTATTATACTAGGTTAAACAATATGGTTATTACGCTAAAGATTTGGATTCGCTTATGTATATACAAGGTGATTCAGAAAGGTATACAACAGCATATATCATTGGTTAGAGGAACGGGTAAAACTTTCGTTTCGGACTGGGTGCCAAATCTCAAGGGTGTCCGAGTTCCAGCGGTTTTTACGAAATTTCACGAAATTTTTACTTGTTCAACGTTTTTTGATTATAACTTCCGTTCTGAAAAAGATGGGGCTTCAAACAAACAGTTTCTGAAATGCCTAGTAAAGGGCTTAAAATAAACATGTTGCTTGATTCTGTATTTTATGTACCTTCGGAATACCAAGCATTCGAACTTTTGGGAAAATCAAATTTTTCCCTTTATTTTTTTCAGTTGGATAATTTCGTAAGAAATTTTTTGAAACCTTGAAATTTTTTTTTATAAAATTTTTCCCAGCTGTTAAACTTTAATTTAAGTTCTCAAACATGAAAAAATGTTTTATGGTATAAAAGATGTAGCACAAAAACCATTTCTTATAGTCAAGATTTTATAGGCCCTATTTTTCAGTATTTTTATTTTTTTCTTATTTTAAGCGCTGTAATTATCAACTATAATTAATTTTGGATGACAAGAGTCGCTCGAAAAAACAGATGACATATTTTTATGAGCAGTTATTTTGATAAAAAATCGGAGTTTTAACATTTTTATTAAAATGTAACAAATAATAATAAAATTGAAACAAAATTGAAACAAAATTTTATACAAACTTTTAATTTGAAAAACAAAAATTGATTTTAAAAAATTTAAAATTTTTGAAAAGAAAAAATAGAATTTTGTATTATGAAAAACAAAAAAAAATCTAGTAATCAAAAAATTTTTTTCGAAACTTTTCTTGGTAAAGAAAATTGATAGGTTTTTAATTTTTGCCAATTTTTATAAGAAATGGTACCTATATGGTTTGAAATTTTTAAATGCATTTTTCTCAGATTGGGTGCAATTTAAAAATTTAAAAAAATAATTTTCGAAATCTAGACACCATTTGGCATCTGACGATATTAAAATTACCCAGCTGGAGCGAATTGTGAAAGACATGCCATATAAATTTTGACATTTATTCTATTAGGAAATTTTTTTTTTCAATAGGAAAATTTAATTTTTTTGCTCAAAATGGAGTTTGTATAAAATTATGAAGCTAATAGATAATTAATAAATAATTTAATTGGATTAATACATTTTAAACATATATCTAGAAAAACTAAAATTGGTATACGGTTGATGCAACTGATGAGATGTTCCAGTAAAGCAATTAATTTAAAACATGTGATTGAAGAACAATAGATTTGAAAGAAGAAAAACAAGAATTTTCTCGAATGAGGTGAATTTCCTAGGAGAATTAAGTGTTTGTTTTAAGAAATTTGTAAAATTTTTGGATAAAGGAATATTAAATTGAATTTAATTTTAGTTTTATAAACAACATCTGGTTTGACTTCAATTGAATTTGTGGCTCACAATATTTATGTTTTTTGTGCTATATCTTCTATACCATACAAAATTTTTTAATGTTTGAGAACTTAAATTAAAGTTTAAGCAGCTGGGAAAAATTTTATAAAAAATTTCAAGGTTTTTTGATTTTCCCTAAAGTTCGAATGCTTGATATTCCGAATCCGAAGGTACTTAAAATACAGAATCAAGCAACATGTTTATTTTAAGCACTTTACTAGGCCTTTCAGAAACTCTTTGTTTGAAGTTCCTATCTTTTTCAGAAATGCTGAAAAATTGCAATTTATGGTAATATTAAGGTGTTGAAAATTTCCACAGAATTAAGATGGGTGGTGGTTGTTTTAAAGTGGGATAACTTGTGTAGTTGCTGGTATATTCAATATATTCAATCTGGTATATTCAATATATTCAATCGAACTTTTTTAAAAGCACATTATAAGCATCGAAAATTTACGTTGTTGTTATTACTTAGTTCATTCACATGGTAAAATTTTTAATTAGCAATTTGTATGGCTAC